CCGCCCGTGTCCTCTGCGGTGAGAAAAGCCCCGTTCGTAAGTAGGGATCCGACATAAGTCGGATCCACGTAACCCGGGGACTGCCTGTAGCACAGATCCAGTTGCTGCTGGCCATAAAAAGATTAAACTGTACCCGACTGACAGAGGTGCTGGAACAATTTGTATAGTGGGGTGCTGAGAACCACTGAACCAAACTATAACCCCTGTATATAATGGAAACCACTTCAAGACAGGGGGTTGCAGCGGCACATCCAGCACTCCTACTTCAGCACTTATACTGATTTATGTATAGAATTTAGGCTAAGGATACAATTAGAAGAATGGCCTTTGAGCAGTTGTGTCACTAAAATGCTAGGAGAGAAATCCAGCCTTATACGTCCTAAATGAATGCAATTTGTTATTCTGCTTGGGTGACAATAGAGAATACGTTCCAATGTATTTCAGCTTCAGTATTTCTTCCTATAGCCATGTTGCTGAGCAGAACAGTGAATGATTACAAAGAGACCATAGTAACATATGTCAATTCTTCCCTATAAAGGGAGACAGCTAAGTGAGACCAATACCTGAGGAGGACTGGGAAAGACGGGACTGGCAGGAGGAATCTGGTGAAACACTTTCAATGAGATCCTCATCGAAAGTTTCTCTCAGCTCATCCTCACAGCCGTCACTCAGGCTGCATTCTTCCTCCTCTGCTTCTTCCTCATCACTGTGTATCTTCAGCACCTGGGGCTCCTCCATCTGAATGATTTTCAGACACCTGACAAATGTTAAGCTCTACAGTTTTAGCTGACCCCCCCACTGTGCTACCTTAGAGGAGTGTTCACATGCATGAACAGTTCATGTGGGGTCACTGCTGTTTAGAGACAAATATAGATAAAGTGCATTAGATATCTAACCAGCCTGTGTTTTGTTGTTTCAGATTCAGCCAACTTTTAACTAGACAAGTAAAATATGACAGATTTCAATTATTACTGCTGGGGCAGGAAGGGAGCAGAGCTGAAATAAAGGCATTTTTATCTCTAGGATAACTGTTGCCTCTATGATCCACAGAGGAAACTCAGCTCAATAGTCTTCTCCCTTGGTGCATGGAACACCAAGGCAGAAATCTGCCAATCCAGACCAGAGAAGAATTTTGCCCATAAAGTGGCCTGATCCAAGGCACACTGAATTTGTTGAGAAAACTTCCATTTAGTTAGGTTAATACCAAATGCTTTTGCAGACCCTGCCCTTGCTCTCTAATGGAGAACACTGCTAGGACTAGTAATAACCTACCTGCTGGGAAAAGGGAACACATTAACGGCACCCTTTACTGCAGGTGTCACCCTTCCCATGTAGCAGGACAGCAGGACAACGATTTCCCTCTGATCCCACCCACACTTCATAACTTGCCACCAGCCACATAGAGGGCACTCCAGAGATCTGGAATCTGCAAGAGGTGAGGGGACGGAAAGTGGCTGTACTGGGGGAGGAGGAGAGGTAGGCAGTGGAAGGAGGAGCCCATCAGTCTCTTTCTCCTTTAGGCAGTTTTGCTGGGCTGTATTCATTTTCCTCTGCCCACTAGTCCCTCTACACTAGGGATGTCTTTTTAAGACACTTGCCAGGAAGGGGTCTGAGGGAGGGTTCACAGACCCAGAAACAGCCTGGACATCTCAGCCTCCCTACAATCAACATGGACAGTGCCCAGAGATTTCCTCTCCCTCTTTGTCCCTCCTATGAGGTTCTCCGCAGAAGGGAAAACTAAGCCTGGAGTGTGCAAATAGATTCCACTATACTATTTCTGCCTGCCTAGATGTGAATTTACAAAATGAAATGCAATTCTCCCAGACTGCCAGGAGGTGGCTGAAAAGTTCTCCTTATTACAGAGACGGCCCACTGAGTAGGGTTGCCAGATGGTTTCAACAAAAATACCGGACACACTTGACATTACATCACAATCTACATTCCATCTCATTTAGAAAATACTGGACATTTCTATTTTCTCATTTATATTTTCTCAATTTGTTTCCCGAACAGAAAACTCAAATACTGGACTGTCCAGTTCAAAACAGAATACCTGGCAACCCTAACACTGAGTCCCTGCAATTCATTGTACTGTAAGATAATTTAGAATCATCCAAAACTCTTACTGGTTATGCTGTTCTCTCCATGCCTTCAAATCAGTAAAGACATCTTCCCGGCTTGGATCTTCAGCTTCCTCAGAGTCAAAGCTGTGCTCCAACTTGGGACCAGGCATTTGGAAAGGGTTCACTGCTACAGACTGAAAAATAAAACTGAGAAGAGTTACTACAGATAATTTGGTATTTAATTTACCACTCACTCCTCTTTGCCAACAACACAATTTCCAAATGCTGGGCATCAGAATTTTGATGAAGCTTTTGATGCAATAGTTGGGTTTTTAGTTTATCCATGACAATGTAATTTTATTTTTTTAAATATTATATTGAATATGACACTCCCAGCTACAATCCATTACAATAATACGTTTCTTATATATTCACTGCAGAAACCCAGCATTATGACAACTAGGAGGCTAATGACATGTCTGAGTCTCGCCCCACAGATGTGTAGCTCTACATTTACATTGAACTGAACCTGTAATAGCTGCACCAACAAGCATTTCAGGCATAGATCATAGGATGTGATTGTGTACCATATGATTTGGGTCATACCATTATTAAATCTGATAGCTCTAATTTATTTCAAAAAGCTTAATTGGTTGGTAGGGTAGGCAGAGAAAAGGGACAATTCCATTTCCTTCTCCTCCCCTCCAGTGATCTTTCTAGTATCTGTTATCAAGAATGACACGTGAAATTATATGATCTGTGTGTCATGTCAATCACATGACCCCAAGGCAGCAAAGCACATATAAAGTTAAGCACATGTTTACATATTTGCTAACTCAGGGCCTACACAGGGGTATGTCTACTGCAATCAAACACCCATTGCTGGCCTGTGCCTCACGTTCGTGGGGCTCGAGCGAAGGGGCTGTTTAATTGTGATGCAGATGTTTGGGCATAGGCTAGAGCCAAGGATCTGTGACCTTTCCCTCTCCCAGGGTCCTAGAGTCCAAGCTCCACTGCAAGCCAGCACCAAATCCTGGGGTCCGTACTTGTGCTTTGCTCAGATCCCAGGGAAGTCTATGCAAGTTTTGTGAGTATAGAAGGCAGGATGTGGCATGTAATTTTAATTTGTTCTTTTACAGTCCTTTGTTTTTAATTCCCTCTAGTGAAAGCGATGGTTTTTCCTACCGGTTGCTTCTCTCCTCTTTTTCTTATATATGATCACGCAGCTGGTGTCTGAGAACATTTTCATTAAATGACACTGCTGATTTCAATTTTGAGTTGACACATCCCTGCCAGCTCTCTCCAATCCCTCCCAGAACAGGAAACCTGGAGTTCTCAGATTCATGACCCCCCTCACCACTCTGTTTATCCACTGATCTTCCAGCTGTCCAAGTTTCCTCTCCTGCCCTTCTTCATGTCTCACTTGGCCTTCCAAGTCTCTTTATGGGCTTTGCTGAATCAAGGCCTTTAGACCTTCTACCTCCTCCAAGACTCATTGCTTTTATACATCATTTTCTGGACTACAAACTGGAGGGGAAATCCATAAAAACAGTAGCTGGAGGAGAGGGGGAGGAGTGTCTCATCTTATCTCAGCAGAACTCATGTCATTTGGGTTTGTCCAGCAGGAAGGGAAAGCATATAGGAAAAAAGACGTACACCTAGCTTTTGTCTCCGTGCATGAAGGGCTTTGATAGGATTCCCACATATAACGCGGCTGATTCCTAGCCAAAAGAAACAAAACAAGTCATTTTGCACCAGCTTTTTACACTTCATACAGTTCTTAAGTCTGATTACAGCCCTGATGAGATTCTGTTTTCGTGTAGACAAGGATAGAACAGGTTTCATCGACTCTCTGGAGCTGGTCTCCATTTCCTTTGCTAAACGCAGAGTATTCAGTGCTAGCAAAGGGCTGCTTCACTGGCTCAGCTGGTCCTGCTAAGCATTTGAACTCCCTGTCTCAGAGAGCTGAGAAGAACTGGGGTTTACTGGAAAGACAACTCCAAAAGACAGGGAGAAATGAACACAGCCTACACACTTAGCGTGTCTCCAAAGAGCTGATCAGATTGCAGCACTCCAGCAGTCTCAGTGAAAACTGACCCAGAAATCTGAGGAAGGGTTCACACCTGGATCAAAACAGGACCCCGCCAGACATTTCCCATTCAGCCATTCTTGTGCATCCTGCTGGTGGCCCTCAGAGGCTCCTTTGTCTTCCCCTTTAATTATAGCAGAGTGCCAGCTCTGGGACAGCTAAGGTGAAGATCTCCTCACCCTCCCAATTCTTTTGTCTTACTTACACTGTTGGCTGCTCTGAAACGGGCTTGGAGATAGCGACATCCAAATCTCAGCCATCAGCAGTGAGCCTGAATTAGCCAGAAAAATTGCTGCAGAGTGACAGAAGGTCCTCCAGTTTCTTCTGGAGAGCTGTGCTGACTTTGCAGTATTCCCAGGAGGAAAGAGCCAGCCACTAGGTGGTTGGGTACTGCACTACAATTAGAGCTTTGGGATGGCTAGCAGGCCGGAAATTTTAAATCAGTGACATGATCCCTTAAACTAGGAGATACAGCTCTGGAAACTGATGCTACAGCCACTCACTCACAGCAATGATCCCTACAGGAATATCAGTATGAAGCTTGCACACCACACACTCTGACCTTTTGACACACTTGTGAAGGAGGCATGCAACACAGCTTCTGTCCTCCGGATGTTCTGTAGGGACAGTTTATCTTGGGACATTATTCCAGTGTTTTAACACAATGCTGTGTCCAGACAGTTCTGCATGTTTGCATATAAATTAGATTTAAGTGACCCCAGCAAATGGGGGATCTAGTGATAAGGGTTAATGAGAACAGGTTTTAATAAAAATAAGGGAACAAATCCTACCTGAGAGCAGATTGCTTAACAAATAGCAAGTGTGGAGACATTGCCTACCTTTCATTAGGGCACTCTGTAGCAATATATAGCTTTCAAAGTGTAAAATGGGAGGCTGTCCCCAAAAGACTTTTTCCTTCTGCCTCAGGAGAAAATGAAAAAGCAGCTCAAGCTCACTGTGCTTGAGTTTCACATGTAGAAACCAGTCATGGACAAGCCACTGTGCCACTAGTACTAGTGGGTGTTACTGAGAGCACATGTGAAAAGAACTTTGTGAGCACCTGGAAGCACTTTGAAGGGAGGCTGAAAGAGGGGTGACTGGGGAAGAATAAAGAAAAATCATCACCATGTGTCAAGTCACTGGAGTCATCCTCTAGGAATATCTCATTAGAGAAAGTGGATTCTGCAAGGGTGCTACCACTGGACAGCAAAGGGACATTGCTAGATTTCTCTGCACTAGCTGGCCTCTGTGCAGTCCATGGTCTGGAAGCGGACATGAAGTGAGTAGTGGTAGGTCTCGGACTGGAGCCAGGTCTTCTTCTTGTCGTCTCTGGATAAGAATCTAACAGAGATTTCCGTGAGATACGTCTAAGAACGCAGTATTCGAATACCTTATCATTGCACAGTCATGACAAAGCAATGGCAACATGCTTGGTGCTAGAGAGATAAGAAAAAAATGCAGTTCCTGCTTTGAGGAGCTTAAATGTAAATAATACACCCAGCACAGCCACACAGTGTCTTCTGCATCCTTGGTAGGGATACTTCTCTGGCCACCTTCCAGCATGAACACCCATATTTTTCACACAGTTTCTAAATCATTTCAGATATTAAGCAATAGACTGGCAAATGAAGAATGTTGTCCTGCAATACTGGGGGTTCAGCACTTTTAATAATCAGGCCATTTATTTAAGAACTTCATGTTAGGCACTGATTGATTTAAAAAAATCTTAGCCTTTGTTATTAATGCAAAGCTATAAAACATACAGAATGCAAAGCAGCTAAGTTAACATCACTAAAGAAGAGAAAATGTTTGGAATTTCCTCACTTGAGTGCTTAACATTTAAAGTAAAAATACAAACATGAATAAAATATTATAACATAATATGCATGCCCTGTTCTGTGTTCCATTCTATGCTGTTTTTGCTTCCCAACTTTACTATTCTTCTGTAATGCAAACTTACGGAGCCCATGGAGGTACCATGGAAGGATCAAATTTTTATAAAATACAGGACTATGTAGCACTTTAAAGACTAACAAGATGGTTTATTAGATGATGAGCTTTCGTGGGCCAGACCCACTTCCTCAGATCAAATAATGGAAGAAAATAGTCACAACCATATATACCAAAGGATACAATTTAAAAAAAATGAACACACATGATACAATTTAAAAAAAATGAACATATGCCAGAGCCCCTCCGCGGCTTTGCTCCGCGTCTTCCTGGTCTGCAGACCAGGGAGACGCGGAGCAGCTTTTCTTGCCCGGGAGTACACGGGCGGCGGGACCACGCAGTCCGCAGTCCGTGTTCGTAAGTGCGGATTCAACGTAAGTCGGATCCGCGTAAGTCGGGGACTGCCTGTACTACAACTAATAATTTGGAACCACTGGGATTAAAATAAATGAGAAGTTTGTGTATTTATTCTAAAATAAACTGTATCTTTAATGGCATGCAGTTGGCAAGCATACCACAACAGTGCGGATGAGGAAGTCAACCTTATTGCCCACACTAATGGGAAGCAATAGAAGCAGTGATAGGAAATACTTTGTAATATTTAATGAATATGGTAACGCACATGTCGTGCAATATATAAAAGCATAACACAAAAATCAAGGGTGATCCAATTAAATTAACAGGCAGAAGTTTAAAACAAAAATAAGGAAGTACTTCGTCACACAACACAGAGTTAACTTGCGGAACTCATTGCCAAGGGATGCTGTAAAGGCCAAAACTATAACTGAGCTCAAAAGAGAATTAGCTAAAGTTCATGCAAGAGAGCTCCCTCAATGGCTTTTGGCCAAGATCACTAGGGATACAATCCTATATCTGGGTGTTCCTAAACTTCAGATTGCTAGAAGTTGAGACAGGATGATGGGATGGATCACTCTATAACTGCATTTTCTCTTAATTCCCTCTGAAGCATCTGGCACTGCCTACTGTCAGAAGACAGGATACTGGGATAGAGGGATCACTGGTTGGATGCAGTATTTTTGTTCTTATGTTCTTAAGAAGTAGCTTTCCCAAATAATATACCATCATGTAGTTACATGGGTCACTATTCATGAGCCATCATACCACCTTCCATTTCCAAGATTTCACTTGACTTGCTCAATTCAAAATATATATACATGAAAATACTAAGCGCTAAAACCTCAACTGCAGATGAAACATGGTAGATGGTTTAAGCCACTTTTACATTTCTCTAGTCCTAGAGCTAACCTCAGGGCTGCTCTAACTTACTCCCATTGTTTCATAGCCACATTTGGAAAATCTCTGGAGAAGAGAGGGATTCTAGCCAAACTCAATTTATCCTAGCTATTCACCTGACTCGATGGCATAGCCGATCATATGGAATCCTTTGGCACTGGAGGATTCCCCAATGCAGGAAGAAAGACTCCTCCACTGGCTGATTAAGAGCAGCACAAAGTAGCCTCAGTGGGGTGAAGATTCTGGCCAAAAGTTTTAAAGTGCAGTTACATTCCAAAGAGTGACCATGAAAATAGCATGGTGAAGTTCAATATTTATTGTCCTACAGTGAATTCTATAGCCATTCTGCTGTTTCCAAGTAAAAAATTCAAATTTCCTGAAAGCTCAGCTTGGGATCTTAGCTGTGCTCTTATTCTTTCTTACATATCAAAACCAATAAATGTACCTTCATGGGAAGTTTGACATACCTAAGCCAGAAATGTCTTTAGATAAACTGCCTTCCTTAATAGACTCCTTGACAATTAGCCAATCTTTGTTCATTTTCCTGGAGAGAGGGATGGTGATTTGATTTGCTGGTATTTCATCCAAATACTTTAAGTGTGGGATGAGTTTTTTCACTTCAGCTCTGTAATTATAATCTGGTACCTGGAAAAATTAAGAGTATGGTCATTTTAACAGATTGTTCAAAGAGAAACTGAACTATTATAAGCACTGTGGAGGTGTTCACGCTTTATGACCACTGGATAGTTTGAAGAATGCTTTGAAGGGACAAACCAACCCATCTCAAAGAATAAATAGAAATATAACCATGCATTTAAAATCTCACTGTGCTTCTCTATGATGGAACCACTACTCAAGTTACTGATGTACCAACAACACAAACTGCACAAAATTAAAAGGCTGTTTGGCAAGTTATTTAATCAATTACCTCAGCACCTATTACAATAGCATCTGGGAGCCATACAAAATTGCAAACAATACATTGCTTTCCATAGGAAGATTGGAGAAACTCAACCCATAAGCACCCTCCTCCCGTTATGTTTGGAATTCTCTGGTTGTGGCATCAACTTCAGGCCATACTGAGACTAAAATGATGGGCCTAGGCTGGAAGGCTACCAAACCCAATGTCTGACACACTAACAAGTGCCAAATCCCTCAGAGCTAGATTGCGACTGCAGGTAAAATTTTAAGCCAGGTGTGTTGCATATGTAGCTCTGGGAGGCACTGTGGGCATGTCTAGACTGCATCCCTCTGTCGGCAGAGGGAGGCAAATTAGGCAGGTCGACATTGCAAATGAGGCATGGATTTAAATATCCCGTGCCTAATTTGCATAAAAATGGCCGCGCGTTTTGCCGACTCAGCACTTTGTTGGCAAAAAGCGACAGTCTAGAGGGGGATCTGTCGAGAAAGAAAACCTTTTTTGACAGATCCTGTAAACCTCCTTGCAGGAGGCATAAGAGATCTGTCAAAAAAGGCTTTCTTCTCAACAGAGACAGGGCTACTGGAGACTGCTGCTTTTTGCCAACAAAGTGCTGAGTCGGCAAAACGCGCGGCCATTTTTATGCAAATTAGGCACGGGATATTTAAATCCATGCCTCATTTGCAATGTCGACCTGCCTAATCTGCATCCCTCTGCCAACAGAGGGATGCAGTCTAGACATACCCTGTGAATGCTTCTGTATATTAGAGGAGATGACTCAATTTAAATCTAAGCTCTTTTTCTTCAAGAGGGCATATGCCAAGGACTGATGCATAAAGGCAAAACTGAACTGTATCTAGGTTTCTTTTCTGAGACTTTGGTATGGCCCCTCCCATTCACACGTGTCAGTTATGACACATGTTGAGGGCCTGCAGCTTCTTCTGGACTAATAAATTGACATTTTGGATTATAAGTGAAATGGGCCATGTGCACATAGCAATGACTGAAGAATTATGAACAGTAGGAGAGAAACATTTAGTGTTACAGACGGTGGTTATTACACTATGGTTCTGAATCTCCTGGTGAATGTTGGGCATTGCTAACAGATTTGAACCCTGCAAAGACATGACATCTCAGCTTTGGGAAAACTTAGTGATGTGTAGGAACATGCATTTTACAATACTGATTAAAAAAATTTAGATTCAAGAAGGCAGCAGACAATGTCTGACTGTCTCTAACTCACTAGCAGTTTAAAGAGAGCACAAAGCAAAATTGTCCTTGTGAAGGAGTGTGAGAGGATGGCTCACCTGAAAGTTAACATCTACTGTGACAAAGTCAGATCAAAGGGCTGCAACACAGTGGCAAAAAGGTAGCCCTAGGAGGGAGAAAAAAAGCCAACTCCCTTGTTAACAAGGAGTGGACCAATTAGAAGTAGGGTTGCCAGATGGTTTATCCAAAAATAACAAACACCTCCCTCCCCAAAAAAACAACCACTGTTGAGAAATAAAGGGGGAAACCAAAGTTGTTGGGGGGGGGGGGGAAGGGACCCTGACAGTTATTAAGCAAAAAACCCAAAATACAAAAAAAACCCCAGCATGGCCCCTTTAAGGCTTTTGTGGGTTTTTTTTTTTCCAGTGGCCATCTTGTTTTCTTTCTCTGTGCCAGAAGAGAGCTCCCATGCGGAACCAGGTAAGGGGGGGGGCAGAAGGGGAGGGGGGCGGGGTCTGGGAGCTGCCCAGGGACTGGTCCTGGGGCTGGGCCCGGTTGCTGAATGTGTGTAGGGTTGCCAGGTAGCTGGTATTTTCGCCTCCTGGCAGGGAAAAAAAATCAGAAAATACCGGACATTTTAGGTGTCTAGTATTTTCGGATTTTTTTTTACTGGACAGGAGGCGAAAATACCGGACTGTCTGGGTCAATACCAGATACCTGGCAACCCTAGAAGCAGCTGACAAGGAGCTGTCTGAGGCAGATTAGGGATCAGCTGAGACAGGGCTACTGGAGACCTTTTAAATGCCTTCCCTGTTCAGTAGAGACAGAGGCCCATAGCAGTGTGCCACAGGCTCCTGTCACTGCTGCTCTGGATTCTGCCTGACTGTCCATTCTATTTGTGCAGCATTATGCAGTGTGGCCATTTTGCACTCCAGTGGCACAAAGATACCCTAAAGGGGTGATCTCACTTCTCTACTTGGGTCTTATCCTCAGAGTAGGTAGTTGGACTCCCTATCTTGCCAATGAAAAACTAGAGGAAAACTGCTTATTCTTGGCCTCTATAACATCTATGGAACTGTGGACAGTGAAGATTTAGAATAGCCTGGAGGCTAATTTAATACACAACAGCAGCTGAACTTGCTTTGGGCAACATGGAAAATACAGAAGGCACAAAGGGGGCTTAGATATACCTTTCACTCTTTCAGCATTCGGGCATTGATGCACTGTGGTCATGCCTTGGTATCCTAATAAAAATTGAGAGATGCTGTATTTCAAACTTCTCTGTTGGATCTCATACTTCTGATATTGTTAGCAAACCCTCCAACATCCTTTTGGTGTTTGCATTCTGACTAATCATAGGACTAGAAGGAAGTTCATCTACTCTACATCTATCTGGGAGAGGGTTTGAGAGAGGGCTATAAACAGAGGGAGTTGGCTACTGACAATTTTGCAGTATTAATTTTCTTTTTATTTGGCTTCACATTAAATAAACATTTAAACCCATGAACCTTGTTAATTATCCCTTGTTTTAGTGCTCTTTCTTCCATAACATTTTACAAAATATATATAAATAAGGTATTTGTTAATAACTTGGGTGCCACAGTGGCACACGTCTAAACAAGCACACATGAACTCAATATTGGTGCACGAGACAAAACTCACTCTGCTCACGGATGGAAAATCTTTGAGGGAACAATGGTCCTCTACATTCCCCCAGGGACAGGCTACCAGGCTAACCTGCTTCTAAGGGGAAGGCTGACTGTTCTGATGCAACAGACAGGGGGTGCTTTGTCTGAAACCCTTTTCGCCAAGGGGAGAAGAGCAGTCTGGCAAGTATAAGAGGGGCCCTTGCCACACTACCTATAATTCAGTCATTTGGTCCTGATAAGTTTTGTCTTTCACGATATTACATGTTATATCACCAATTCCCAGTCAACTAAGTCCTCACCCACAAGCAATATTGTCTCTCTCAGAAATTTTTCTGCAGCAGCAGTATGTATAACAACTGCCCATTCCCATCTCACAAAACAACACACAAACTAGCAGGGGGAATTTGTCAAATAAAGCTGGCTGCTGATAAGAAGAGGCAGACACTAACCTGACTAACTGACTCTTTAATCTTCATTTAGGAACAACCTTAACCAATCATCTGCCCTTCACGTAGCACATGTACTTTGTGCAGTATGCTGGCTATAGGTTTACAATTTATAGTGCTATCCTGTTTGAGAGATGCATCATATTACACTCATGCAGCAATACTGCAAACAGCAGCTATATTAGGGGCTACAGTATTTATCATCAGGTTGTTGGGTTTGGTTTAGATGACAGAGGAAGATGAGGTCATCTGAAAATCAAATTACACAAAGCAAACAGGGAGTCTGACGAAAGGGCAGTAAATTTAGTTAATCATTTTATAGATAAAAAAATACAAGAGCTGTTACCGAGGTTGTCCTATGGGGTACAGTATGGCAGGCAGCTCGAAATATTAGACTTGCCAAATTGGGGAACAAATGTAAGTCTACATCTATTATTTTCTACCTCTTGGCTGAATTTTCTGTACCTCAGTCAGTTGGCAAAAGCATTAATAGGAATGACAGAGCCCAGGGTGAAACTTAGATCTGAGGAATGAATGTTTTTTTGTGATGGTCTCAGGGCTGTGGAACTCCCCATACAGGAGTCAGGGTGAATTTGTGAGCTGCCTCTTTTAGAGCATGATTGAAGACATGCCTCTCTGAGGAGACCTCCCATTAGTATGAGGCAACAAATGGCTGATTATTCTGTCTTCTCCTAGAATGACCCAAAGAGGTAAAATCCAATCAAGAGAGGGGCAGAGAAGATGGTCCATAGGTGGACAGCAAAGAATCTTCTTAAATTCTTGTATTTTCTTTATATCTAGCTATCCCAGTGACTGGTGCACTAGCTAAGCAATGACTGACAGAAAGACACTGCATGGCATAGGATTTCTAGATGGTAAAGTCTTAGCTAGAAATTCCTCAAGAGATCCCCTTTTGCAAAAACTTGCTTGAGAATGTGTCTTGTGTGCTCGGGCCTGCCAACCGGGGAGAGTGGGGAGGGCTAAAGGGGCAACTGTGCTGGGGATGGGCAATTCAAAAGGCCCTGGAGCTCCCAGCCACCATTGCCATTGCTACTATGGCAGCGGTGATGGCCGGAGCCTTGGGCCCTTTAAATTGTGTTGGAGTGCCACGCTGCATGGAGAGCTGTAGGAGGGACACTGCGCTCCAGGTGGTGCAGAGGGCTGGCTGTCCCAGTCCTGCCCCTTCTACCTGAGGCCCCACCCCTTCTGGGAGCAAGGAGCTGGCCCCCTGCACCTTGCCCAGGGATTCACACAGGTGTTTGGCTCCCCTCTGTGTGCTACATACTGTGAATGTGTACTTCACTTCCAAAAACACATTGCACTCCAGCATATTATAATACTAATCAGTCCCTGGTTTCATCATCTAAACAAATCAAGAGCAGTCATGTCATGAGCCTATCACAAATGATTTTTAAAGACTGAAGACATCAAGTGATAATTACATCTTTTGAGTATATTACTATGTTTGGAAATGGACAGCAAAGGGGACCTGAATCCCTTATAGCTCTAGTATCTCTTGCTTAGGTTCTGATATCAACCTACAATTATGGAGTGACCAATTATGGAGTGACAAAAACTGCCCTGTGTTATCTCTATGGGAATAAAAACAAGCAAGAAGAAATGATCTTTCAACTAGCAGCAGGCATGGAATTCCTTCTGTAGAGACTTTTGTTTCTAATTGCGTCTTCATCCAGGAATGAAATGTGAACAACAAACATTTCAATTATAAATAGTTACAGTATCTGCCTCTGAAGTATACCTCTGAAAGTACAGAAAAGGAAAACAAATGTAGAGCAATTTGTTAAGGCACAGCCTACTGAATCTCTGAAAAGAAAAAACATGACAACTAAAACTCTACACTGTGCTGGTTCGCTCAGTGACAGATGTGATCAAGCTGACAATTAAATATAAAAAAGTGATACAAATCTTCATGATTATTATATGGATGGGTTGAAATATCCATACTTGCATTACATGACTGAGCTTTTAGAGATGCTAAAGCTTCAAGCTTAAATTCTTATGCAAATGAATTCTATAGATATGAATGATTTAGAGTAAACAGGAAAGTTATTCATGCATTATCAGTCCTTCGTAACATCAGCATAGACCAGGGGTGTCCAAACTTTTTTCAAAGAGGGCCAGATTTGATGAAGTGAACATGCGTGAGGGCCGACCATTTTGCCTGACATTCTTTGAACCATTAAAATTAAACGCAAATTAACTATTTTATGCAAAGTTTATTGCAAACGGCATACTTTTCATTTCGTCACATGGATGACAAATCTAAACAGGTGTTAAATCACTCTGCCTTTCATATCTGAAGGCCAGATGAAAAAAAATCCAGGAAGCTGAAATATGTCAGGAACATTGTAAAGTACATTACATATTATTGGTAATAAAGGTTGTCTGTCCACTTTTAAGTTCAAAAAATATGAACAGGAACATAACACCAAGTATACATGTTGTGTCCAAATATATTTATAACTGATTTAGACCAACTGACATTAACTGAGATTTTACAATGTATTCATCTCAATACATATGGATTCGTTGGGGGCCATAAAAGATAGATATTGCCAAATTACCTGGGGGGCCATATTAAACCGGAACACGGGCCGCAATTGGCCCGCGGGCCGGACTTTGGACATGCCTGGCATAGACTGTTCCAATTCCTAGAAAATGCATTACAATACAATGCATTATGTAACATTGGTTACATAGACTATATCTTGGTTTGAGACTTGTGCTGCAATTAACATTCAACCTAATTTGTGTATCTCACATTTATCGTTTGAGAACTGATGAAGACCTGCAATTACAGCAATCTGAAGAAAATGATGATGGATCATTTGTTTTAACCCAGTAGAACTATTATCTATGTACGCAGAAAGTTTGCAAAGAATATACATTTAATCGGATAAAAGTTCTGTCACAATGATTCCCAAATTGTCATCCACAAATCACCAATGGTCTGCAGAGTACTTGCTGATGCTCCACAAAGCTGGTTTATTGAATTATATTGATTCCCCTTATTGTTTCCAGCTGCTATAGTGGGTGAAGTTAAATTTTCCATTTTTAAAGGTTCCAGTTTTAGAGTTATTACCTGTTCCAATGTCCCCATTTTAAGTAAAGGAAATATTGCTGGAATCAACAACATTGCTAAAACTGGAATTAACTTAAGTGCACGTGTCACTTCAATAGGCAGAACCAAACCTGGAACCTATGGAGCTTAGTACATGAGCCGCTACCACTTGAGCTAAGGCTCTCAGCTGAGGTTATACAGTAAACTCAGTCTCTCTCTCTGTAAGTGGTCTAAGTGCCACTACGTGGGACAGTACACCACACCCAGAAGGTGTGTGGGTTACACATGCACTGTACATGACATAAAGGACTTTTCTGAAGTTATTTTTGCATGTAAACAATTGCCATATTTGCTGCTGGGATGTTATGTAACCCAAAGAGGAAGGGAGGAGAGATGATTATTTTGACTACAAAGAGGATGGCGTATCACCAAGACAATATCTCTATTAAGCCCTGATCTATGCTATGAAAAAGTGTGATAGTTCTTTTAAAAGGGTTCCTCATTTTAACATGCTACTTTAAAGTTTTATTTTGGAGGTCACTTTTCCTCTTGGCATTCCTTGAAGCCATAAAACAGATTATAAGACTGCCCCAGAGCCACTGTATGAAAATACTGATTTGGTAGATATCCAGATTAAAAATCTGAATACTATCAAGTTTTTAATTGTTACTGGTATATTTCAACATGGGTATTGGGATTTCACGTGGTATGAGAGATAGGAAAATTTCTAATGTGGATGGACAGATAACCACATGCATGTGTTGTTAACTTGAGGTGCATTGCCTTGCTCTTCTGCACCAGCAATAATATGCTTTTTACTATACTACACTCACACAAAGGTAATAATGAGAGAAAACACTCTTGCAGCCTCATACTCAAAATTGTTATTTGGGGTTTCCCCAAAAAGCTATGCAAAGAGGGGGATAAGGAAGAAGAGCTATTGAAAGATTAATGCTGTTAAACTGTACTACTGAAATTCTTCTGAAATCACAGCAAAAGAGGCTGACATTTTTACACACTGCAGCATGGTTATCTGACTAAGCTACATGATCTCTTATGTTTGAGCACTTTAGTCCCCAAAGAGCAGAGATAATGCAACGGGTTTCCAGAGGCCTCTCAGGCACTGAAAAGATAGGTAAGATGTTGAGAGTAACTGGCCCTTAATGTGAGGATATAGAACACTTTGGTGGGACCATATTAAGTGATTAAAAATATTTTAACTAACTAGGGCAAGATGCAAACTGGTGTCCCGTTGGAAAGATTTTGATCTCATTTCCAATAAAAGCTGGGAGACAATCAAGACAAATAATCCATCAGTACCAGAAAGGCTGCAGGAGCTGGCACCTTTTAGAGAAGCTGAGGACTCACAGGTAAATCTGTTTCATTTGCAAGATCCACCTGATACCAGAGGGATCATTTGTCTCTATTGGCTTTACCTCACTCCTTAGAGAGATATGCAGGATACATGCTCTGCAAGCTGTGGGAATAGATGCCTCATGCCTAGTGGAAAGGTAGGGGGCTTTGAAAATTTTCCCCCTCATTCCATGCCACTAATTCTGGCTGGGTTTCAGTGAAGGGAGATTCAACGTGGCCCATTCAGCTGACTCTTTGTGTGTCTTGCCCACATGCTAGGATTTTGTGCAGCCTGCTCATATCTCTCCATGGGCATCTAGCCCACATGCCACTAAAAGATGGTTTAATTGTGGCCTTCTCAGTTCTCTCAGTGTGGTTTGAGCCATATGCCATCGGGGGACCAGTTTCACTACAGTCTGCTCATGCCTCTTGGCTTGGACCTTTCCCATAAATTGTCTACGAGCTGGGTTACTTGAGCCTGCACGGTTCTATGGTATAGACCTCGCTCTCACACTGGCTGGGAGCTGGGTGCAGGCAACCCACTGTCCCTGCCATTTCTTAGGGGAGGAGTAGTGCTATTCTTCAAACCCTCTTCAGAAAGCCACACAATTTTTAAGTTTATCAGTTTTGAGAAGAAATCCCTCAAAGCCATAAAACAATCTTGAGTGACAGCTGCTTAAAAATCTTTCAAAAATCCTCTGAAAGCTCTGTTCCAAAGGGTGCCCTGAAATCTACTTGGAGGCAGACAATTCTGAGAAGCTCTTCTGGAGGACTGGTCCTGAGCACAGGCTCAGTGTGAAGATCTCAGCTGCCCCCTGACCACAGAAATGAGGAATGCTCATTGTGAAGATTGACATGGGACTAAGAAAATATTATTTTCTTGCTAAAAGGTAACAGAGGTTAAAAAAAATTTACAAGCCTGCTCCATCTTCCCTGGTGAGCAATGAATGGGGTTTGGGCTGGTTAGAAAGTAGGAAAAAAATTAAACTCTAGCAGCCGTTGGGCAGGTTCACAGCAGACAGTGATAGATTTAACAGTGCATAGATATGTCCACTAGTGTTTGAGAAGTGTTTATTCTTGTAAGAACAAACTGACTGCCAATTTATTTTATCCTGGGACTAGACCCACATGTATCAGAAGATGTACTATGAAAGGGGTTCCTACGAATATCAATACCTCTCTTGAAGCCATTAGGGAAAAGGCCTTGTCAGTCGATACCAATGCTTCCTCTAGCTTTCCTTGAGTTCATGGGAAGTACTTTTTAAGAAAGACAACAATACAATGGAAGTATTTCTGTGGATACCAGATTTACCAACTTGGGATAAACGTGCAAAATTTAACCCAAGAAATCTGAACAAGGTTCTCACCTCTGAAGACTCTGGGTTTGGCTTCAGGCAAATAAGATTCCCCTCCACTGTGAGACTGCTCAGTTTGCCGCAGAGTCCCAGGTACTGAATCTGGTTGATGTCCTCAATATTGTTTCCTTCCAGGTCCAGAATCTCAAGATGATCCAGCAAGCTCACTTGGCTCAGGTCAGAAATATTGTTATAGGCTATATAGAGTTCCTCAACAGAAGTAAATAGAACGTATAAACCACAGACTTGCCCAAATGACATTAAACCACCTACTGACTTAATTCAATATCTTAAAGATTTGAAATAAGTAAAGAGCTAGAGATATCAATAGGAACACTCAGGAACTAGCTTGGGCATAGTGTTTCCTATCATGCCTAATACCGTTGTAAGTCAATGAAACTGTCAGGGAAATAAGTAAGGCCAGGTCTACAGTAAAAGGAGAGGTTGAATCAAGATATGGAACTCCAGCTAAGTTAATTACGTCGATGAAGTCAACATACCTTGTTTTGAGTTTTCCCGCTGTCCCCACAGTGGGAGGCCACAGACAGCAAACACTCCTTTCGGTTTCCCATACACCTCAAAGGAGCAGGAGTACCAGCCACAGACAGGGGCATTCTCTGGGTTCGATTTAGCGGATCTTAATTAGACTTGCTAAATCAAATTCTGGAAGAAGTAGCCCAATGTCTGTGACTCTGTAATGCTGAAATGCTGTCTGTTCGCTCTAGGCGGCGCTGTTGCCTGAGTCACTTCCTTCGCCTCCTGTGGTGGCGCTCAGCTGACGTATGCGCCGCTCAGCCAGGCTGCTGCGGGGGAGCCCAAACCGCTGCTTGTGTCACTTGCTCCCCAGCGGCAGCCCGGCTGAGCGGTGCACAAGTCAGCCAAGCGCCACAGCGGGAGGTGAAGGGGGGCAGGGCGATGAGGTACATGGCCAGGGGCGGGGCCCAGCCGTGTACGTCACCTTCATGCCCCGCTTCGCCTCCTGCCATGGTGCTCGGCTGACTTCTGTGCCACTCAGCCAGGCCGCTACAGGGGAGCCCAAACCACAGCTTGCGCCGCTTGCTCCCCCGCCGCGGCTCAGTTGAGTGGCGCACAAGTCAGCCAAGCGCCACGGCGGGAGGCAAAGGGGGGCGGGGCAGTGACGTGCGGCGTCACAGCGACTCCAGACCGTTTGGGCTCCGCAGTCCCCCAAGTGAGATGCAGTAGGAGGAGGAGAAGAGAAAGAGAGAGACAGAGAGAGAAGCAGGAGGCGGAGGAGAGCTGAGCGAGAGAGAGGAGGGGAGGCAGCAGGAGGAGGAAGAGGAGGAGGAGAGAGAGATGGAGCAAGAGACCGGAGGCTCAGGAGAGAAGACCGACGTGGATGAGAGACCTGAAAATCCTGTCTTATGATGGGCTAACTGGCTAGTTCTGGAAGACTGATTCTGGCAGCATCAATCTTCTGCTTAGTGAAGACATGGCCTAAGTGTGTTCAGGATCTGACCAGAGGGTTGCAGTAAAAAAGAATTGCTTTAGCATCTTCAAAAATTAATAAATACTAACTCAAATACTGCCCAATTAACATCCTTTAAGAACTTTAAAAAAAAGTAACAGTGCAATTACAGAAAGAGAAATATTCACTAAAGATACTGCTCATAGGAGCATATTTGAAATGACCCAGTTTTACCTACCTTCAAAGAGCTGCACGAAGAGATACCATCTAAGTCTGTGAGTCCACAGCGAGCCATCCACAATACTTGGAGATGAGATAATGAGGTTCCAAGGTCCCTTGTAAGAGAAACAATTCAAGCACTTTAAATCGATTTAAATAGACAAGGAAATTTAAAAGTCTCAGAGAGGTAGGCATGTTAGTCTGTATTAAAAAAAACGTAAAACAACAAATTGTCCTGTAGCACCTTAGAGACTAACAAAAAATATAGATAGCATCATGAACTTTCATGGGCACAACCTACTTCTTCAGATGAATGGAGCAAGGAGTCCAGGGGTAGAAACATATAGCAGAAAAATAGGGCAGAGGGGAAGGGGAAAAACCTGTCAATTAAAGTGTCCATGCTAAATGAGGCTAATAGAGTGGGTTGTAAGTACCCAATACTTAGCTTTTGATGTAATTTGGGTGTTGAATATAGCGGCCCATCCAATAAATGTCTTTGTTCAGTCCCTGGGTAAATGTGTCAAATTTGCATATGAAAGCCAGTCTCACTCTCACTCTCACGTTGGTTCTTTAAATTAATTGCAGAGGAATAGCCACTTTTAAATCCATTAATAGTGCCCAGGCAAATTAAAATGTTCTCCAGCAGGTTTCTGTGTACTACCATTTTAAATATCTGATTTGTGTCCATTGCTCCATTCATCTGAAGAAGTGGGTTTTGCCCACAAAAGCTCATGATACTATCTATATTTTTGTTAGTCTCTAATGTGCTACAGGGCCACTCATTGTTTTTTAAAAAAATTTAAAAGACATTTTGTTTTCCACATATGGAAAATCTGATGATTTCTTCATAGCCTGAATACTGAACAAGCAAGAAGTTAGAGAAATAGCACAACTCTCATAGATGAAGAAAGAGATTAAGGTTGTTCAGCGAATGGTTTTATTCTGTTTCTCTACCCCCAACATACTTTAGATCTTCAGTGAAAGCATGTTGCATGGAACAGTATCTGCTCCCATTTCAAGAAATCCATTTAAAATTCTGCCAAGTGTCTATATTTTGGTGATTTTTCCATAATTCAAAACAAGCTAGATAAATGCCACAAATTCTGGAAGAATTTATTTCAGTTGTTTTCACTACATATTATATAAGCATAATCCAAATTAATACACCTGATTTTAACCCGCTGCTCTTGCCCTTTATCATGGTTTATGTGGCGCCTCTCTTTCCTGCCTTGGAAGTGATCACCATGTTGGTAAATAATATTGCTTTGATCAACAGAAAATAGCTATGTATCCCATTCCATCTGTTCATCTTGTAGGCCTAGCCACTGGTGAGTAAGAGATTGATACTTCAAGGTTCTGAGCACTCTGGCCCTAATCCAGAAAAGCACTTAAGCGCGTTAAACTTTGTATACAAGTTGTCCTATTGACTTTGAACGGACATAAATAGCTACAAAGCAGAAAAGCAGCAGCAAATCAAATCAAGCCCAAAGTCTTTAGCACCATCAATCCTCTATATTATTGAGCTATATGTGCATATTATTTAAATGTAAAAGAGATACAATGGCTTGACAAATCCAGAAGAGACCTCAGTGGGAGGCAACAGGATTGCCAGGCAAGGTGCAGGGAGGGTGGTTCTGCACTCCTGGAAGGGGCAGGTCCTCGGGCGGAAGGAGCAGGGCAGGGAGCAACTAGCCCTCAGTGCCACCTGGACGGTGCTGTGCTCCCTTCCCCACCAGCCCTTAGCATTGCCTGGAGTACGCCACCTGGAACTCTGCCAGAGATTAAAGGGCCTGGGCTCCGCCAGTGATTAAAAGGCCTAGTCGAAAGCCTCGGGGCAACTGCTCCTTTTGTCCCCCTGTCAGTGGCTCTGCCAGCCTCAGACCTTCCCCGCCACAGCAGAAACACTGCACCTTCTTGATATTAATGAAAGAAGTCTTCCCCACTTCCTAGTGCACTGCATTCTTTTTAGATTCTTCACAGAACAAAGCACATAATAAAACCTAAGAACCATCACAGACCGCTCTCCATTCCACAGCCTAGGGCTTCCATTATATGAGAGAAGACAGATTCCTCTGTTTTTACTGTATCACTGTTGCTGTTAAAGACAGATCCTAATGTGTATTGGCATAGATGCCTTAACTTCACTGGTGTGGTTTCAGTGAAGCACATAGCAACAACTACAATACAGTAAACAATAGACACAGGAAAATCAATCTTCTCCACTATACTTACAGTCCTTTCTGTGGACTCATAGATCAATCTCTGCTGATGTCAACAGGTTCTACACTTCCTCAACTGGCAGGATCATAAAGCTAACATGATGAACAAACCAACTTACTTAAATCCTGCAGGTACTTGGCAAGGTCCAGCAAAAGAGGCAGGATCGTTAGGTTTTTTCCAGGATCTAGCTGAGTTCTGTTCATCCAGAAGGGTTTGTCCCTGAGCCAGAAGAGTCACAATTCCTCATCACAACAACACAGCATTTGCAAAATAGTCTCTCCAATGACTATTCTCATGGTACGTATTTTTTAATAAAACAAAAGTGCCATATTGAGGTGTCATTCGAGGAGGTTTTGGAACAAATTGATAAACTCAACATTAACAAGTCACCGGGACCAAATGGCATTCACCCAAGAGTTCTGAAAGAACTCAAAAGGGACTACGGAACTATTAACTGTGGTTTGTAACCTATCCTTTAAATCAGCTTCCGTACCTAATGACTGAAAGATAGCTAACATGATGCTAATATTTTAAAAAGGCTCTAGAGGTGATTCTGGCAATTACAGACCAGTAAGTCTAATGTCAGTACCGGGCAAATCAGTTGAAACCATAGTAAAGAATAAAATTGTCAAACATACAAACGAACATAATTTGTTGGGGAAAGACAACATGGTTTCTGTAAAGGGAAATCATGTCTTACTAATCTACTAGAGTTCTTTGAGGGGGTCAACAAACATGTGGACAAGGAAGATCCAGTGGATATAGTACACTTAGATTTCCAGAAAGCCTTTGACAAGGTCCCTCACCAAAGGCTCTTAAGTAAGGTAAGTTGTCATGGGATGAGAAGGAAGGTACTTTCATGGATTGATAACTGGTTAAAAGACAGGAATCAAAAGGTAGGAATAAATGGTAAGTTTTCAGAGTGGAGAGAGGTAACAAATGATGTCCCCCAAGGGTCTGTCCTGAGATCAGTCCTATTCAACTTATTTATAAATGATCTGGAGAAAGGGGTAAACAATGAAGTGGCAAAATTTGCATATGATACCAAACTGATCAAAATAGTTAAGACCAAAGCTGAATGTGAAGAGCTTCAAAAAGATCTCACCCAACTAAGTGATTGGGCAACAAAATGGAAAATGATATTTAATGCTGATAAATGTAAAGTAATACACACTGGAAAAAATAATCCCAACTATACATACAAAATTATGGGGTCTAATTTAGCAACAGCTATTCAAGACAGAGATCTTGGAATCATTGTGTATAGTTCTCTGAAAACATCTACTCAGTGTGCAGTAGCAGTCAAAAAAACAAATAGAATGTTAGGAATCAGTAAAAAAGAGATAGAGAAAAAGACAGAAAATATCCTATTGCCTCTATATAAAACCATGGTATAGCCACATCTTGAATATTGCGTATAGATGTGGTTGCTTCATCTCAAAAAAGATATATTGGCATTGGAAAAGGTTCAGAAAAGGGCAACAAAAATGATTAGAGGTTTGGAATGGGTCCCATATGAAGAGAGATTAAAAAGACTTGGCCTTTTCAATTTAGAAAAGAGGAGACTAAGGGGGGATATGATAGAGGTCTATAAAATCATGTCTGGTATGGAAAAAGTGAATAAGAAAAAGTTATTTACTTATTCCCATGATATAAGAACTAGGGGTCACCAAATGAAATTAATAGGCAACAGGTTTAAAACAAACAAAAGGAAGTTTTCCTTTACTGAGGGCAGTCAACCTGTGGAACTTCTTGCCAGAGAACGTGGTGAAGGCTAGGACTTTACCAGGATTCAAATTAGAGCTAGATTCATGGAGGTTAGGTCCATCAATGGCTATTAGCCAGGATGGATAGGAATGGTATCCCTAGCCTCTGTTTCTCTGGAGGTGGGTGACAGGGTAGGAATCATGTGAGGATTACTTGTTGTGTTCTCTGCCTCTGGGGCATCTGGTATTGGCCACTGTCAGCAGACAGGATACGGGGCTGGATGGACTGCTGGTCTGACCCAGTATGGATGTTCTTATGTTCTTAGGATTACAAACAGATTCAAAAACATCCCTGCAGCAAGAATGCATCAACTGCAATATTTACTGAAACTTACAATTATAAAACAAAGGGTGGAAGGGAGAAACAATGCAAAAATGAAGCATCTTGCACTGAGCATGGCAATTTTTATTCCCTGAGCAATACACCAAGAAACTCGCACTTGTGAGTTTTGACTAATGTGACGAAAATGCATTGCTCATTTCATAACCCATTTATGGTGCTGTATTTGCTCTGAACTGTATACACGTGGATGGT